TTTTGTTTATGAAGTGGTTGTTTTGTTTCCCCAATGTACAGATCTGCACATGGCTCACTGCATTGTACTGTATATACCACGTTGCTCAGTTTTTGTCTTTGGGGTGGACAAGCTTCTGCCTTAGTGTTTTCTTGGGTTTGAAGTGTGCACGTATGTCATGTTAGCTGAAGATCTTCCTGAGCTTTTTTGCTGTGCCTGCAATGTACGGAATGACAATGTTGTTTTGTTTATTCTTTTCTTCATTATCTATTATGGAGGAGCTCCTGTCGGGTCTTTCTAGAGATTTGATGGAGGCCCACTTGGGATAGTGACACATTCTGAAGGCTTTCTTGATGTCTTTTCGTTCTTTTTCTTTCCTGGTAGGCTGTGGTGTAGGGTTTGCTGGTAGGCTATGGTGTAGGGTTCTGATGAACCATTTTGTGCTCCAGTGGGTGGTGGGAATAAAAATGTAAATATTGATCTGTGTGGGTGGATTTTCTATAAACTTCACCGTTAATGTGTACCACACAGTCCAGGAAGACTAGACTATTTTCTTGAACATCTTCCTATGTGAATTTAATGTATCTGTCCATAGAGTTTGTATAGTATGTTTGGTGAACGCTTCCAATTCCTGTGCTTTGATCTTGGCTCAAGTATTGTCCCCATACCTATACTAGTGAATTCCTGTGAAGGAGTCTAGAACTTTGGTTTTTACCACTTCCATGTAGAGAGTGACCACAATGGGGGACACAGGAGAACCCATGACACAGCCATGTTTCTGTCTGTAGAAACCTTCAATGTATTTAAAATAGGTAATGGTCAAGCAGAAGTCCAGCACGGTACATATGTGGTCTGAGCTGAGGTTGGTTCTGTCATCTAAGGTACTGTCTTGTACAAGTCATTTTTTTCACTACCACGACAGCTTCGGTAGTTGGAATGCAGGTGAAGAGAGAAGTCACATCATGGGAAACCAAGGTCTCATCTTAGTTTAGTTTACTTTATTGTCATTGTACCTTGTATAATGACATCAAACACCATCTTCGATGCACATCAGGACCATGAAAATAAACACACATCCTTCACACTCCACACATTGAACCAAAACCCTCATCACCGCACCAACACTGCACTATACAGCAGAATTCAAAAGAGCTACTGCCCTGGGATAGAAGCTGTTTTTCAGCCTGTTTGTCCTTCTTTTTATTATTCTGTACAGTCTGCCAGAGGGTAATAATTCAAAAAAAAAGGGTACCCAGGATGAGATGGATCTTTGAGAATGTTTTGAACTTTCTTAAGGAAGCAGGAGCTATAAAGCTTTTCCAAAGAAGGGAGAGGGCAACCAATGATCTTCTGGGCAATGACGTTAACCCTCTGGAGTGCTTGCCACTGTGCAATTGGCAAATTATACAGAGGTGCAGTATGTTACGATACTCTCTATGGGGCTGCGGTAGAAGTCACCAGCAATTTTTCATTCAGTTGTTGTTTTCTGAGAAGTCTCAGGTAGTATACGCTCTGCTGGGCCCTTTTGACCAGTGCTGCAATGTGGGCACCCCAGATCAGGTCCACTTTTTATGGTAACACCTAGAAACTTAAAACTGGCCACTTGCTCCACTCGGTCTCCATTGATAAGCAAGGGCTGGATGTCTGATCTGTTCCTTCTATAGTCCACTATAAGCTCCTTGGTCTTATTGGTGTTGAGGACCAAGTTATTGTCTCCACACCACGAAAGCAACCGGTCCACCTCATCTTGGTAGGCAGACTCATCCCCCTTGTTGTGGGACTCATCCGGGTCCAGTTTTAATTTCCAAACCTTGCTGGCGATGTCCTGTGAATTGTTGATGTGATGGATGGTGTTGCCAACTAGAGGAGCTAATAAGGTGGTTAATACGATGTTTTGCAATGTTGTAGGTGACAGAGTTGATGCTGCTGACAACTGGTCTCAGTGGAATTCCCTCCTGGATTTTGGGGAGTCCATATATGCATAGGGTGGTTTCCCCAAGGTGACCCAGATAAGCCTTCAGGTGACCTTAATGACTTGCTAAAAGAACACAAATGACCAGCTGTATGCAAAGGTTATAAATACTCCCATTTCCCACCATCCAGTCAGAGCTGAAGAAGCTTCTTGGATGAGAAGTGAAATGTCTTCAAAACAAAATCAGAAAGTCCAGTTGCCTCTTGAAAAAGCACCTTTGGGACATAACATTATAAAAATTTCAGCAAATCAGAATTTCTGTGCCTTAATGCAGATAACCCTACATATATCCTATAAATATGATAAGTAACTAGTCATATTTCTAGATTTGGGGTACTGATAGTGGTATTGAGAAAGGCTGACAGGGAAAAGATCAGATATAATAGGGTACTAACTAGGAAATATAATTGGAGGTCATGAAAATAAAATGGATCTAACTTTTTTTTGCCAGCCAAACCTTTCCAGATGTTTTTTGTAGCTTCTTAAGACATAATCTTCTTCTCCTTTTCCATTTTTCTAGTCTAGTCTTTTTTCTTGGCATTGAATGCTAGCACAAAAGGTTCTTATGAATTCTCCTCACTTGGTCAATGTATGTTATGCCTGATTGCATGTCTATTTCCTCTATCACCAAGTGGCCAAACAACCCACATTACTTTCTGAAGAAGAAACAGTGTGATGCCATGTAAAATGTTTGGGATGATTTACCATTATGCAGCAGAATCATGCACATAATTAATTTTTCTGGAATGAGTTAATTCAAGGTACAGGTAATCCTCAACTTATGAACCAAAACTGGGACCAAAATTTCTATTGTAAGTTAGGCAGTTGTTGGATTATACCTGATCTTATGACATTTTTTTCAGATTGTTAAGTGAATCACTTCAGATGTTAAGTGAATCATCTGGTTGTTAAGCAAATCCAACTTTCCCCATTAACTAGTTGTTGAAAGTTGCCTGGAAAGTCACAAATGGTGATCACGTGACCCAGGGAAGCTGCAACCATCATAAATACATGACAAGTGCACAAATTTTGACCATGTTACTATAGGGATTGTCATGCCCTTGTTAGAGTCAGACTCTGAGAGAGAGGAGGAACAGCCGACATGGAGTGGAGGTGTGGCTCCGGAGGTTGTGGAGGAGGGTGGGGAAGGGCAGAGGCCGGCTGGGTAAGCAGAGGAAGAACCAGGCCCATCCCCTCTTCATCCTAGGGCACAAGGGAGGAACGGAGAAGGAAACAACTTGGCTTACAAGAAAGGAAGCGGCCATAATCTCCCTCATTGGTTGCAGCTGGAGAGAATAGTATATAAGAGAGACGGTTAAAACACAGCATTGCCAGAAGCAAAATGTGTGTTATTTGGGGCTGAAGTTATTTTGGTTGGCATTCTTCCAAAAGACTGTGCCTTGAAGTTGGTAATTACTTATCCTGGTCCATTGTGGAAATTCCTTCATTGTAGTTTGTTTTAGTTTTTTTATTTCACCTCTATCTGCTCATTAAGTTCAGACTGTATTGCTTTCTTTTGAAGACTATTTTTGAATAAATTTTATCTCCAACTGAGAATTATTGAACAGTGGGGCCAAGTTGGAGGCATTAAAGGACATTTATTTACGTTTTGGATTTTGTTACGTTTGTATTACACTACGGGTCATCACAGGGATGTTGCAACAGTCATAAGTGTGAGAACCAGTGACCATAAGTCACTTTTTTCAGTGCCATTTTAACTTCTAACGTTCATTATGTTGTATATGTTGAAGACTACCAGTACCGAGGATGTAGGAATTTTTCACAGCCATGTTGAAATGTGATATACCATTTCTTGAGCTACCAAAAAATTATATTGGCATGAAATTTACTATTGACAACTATTGACATGCAGTTAGCAAATGGCACTGATCTTATTCACAGTTTGCAGACACATTCAGGATAAGGATGAATTGATATCCCAAGCTTTGCTCCCCTGCTCTCCTACCTAATGTCACCAGCTAATAGAAAAACATCTAATCACTCTCAATATAGATGATGTTGGTCAGGAAAGAAATGAGTTTTGATAGAAGAGTAAACTGTTTGGGATTTGTGGACATGAATTCTAAGTCAGCATGATTATCAACTAAGAACAGCTCCATTTGAACATAAGTCTAGCAGTATTTTTGAAGAGCGCTAAACCCGTATGCAACCATGTAAAACTTGTACGCCAAAGGTCTAGGGGTGACATGATAGCAGTGTTCCAATATTTGAGGGGCTGCCATAAAGAAGAGGGGGGTCAACCTATTTTCCAAAGCACCAGAAGGCAAGACAAGATACAATGGATGGAAACTAATTAAGGAGAGAAGCAACCTAGAACTAAGGAGGAATTTCCTGACAGTGAGAGCAATAAATTAGTGGGACGGCTTGCCTTCAGAAGTTGTGGGTGCTCCATCACTGGAGGCTTTTAAGAAGAGAGTGGACAACCACTTGTCAGATGGTATGGAGTCTCCTGCTTGAGGAGTGAATTGGACTAGAAGACTGCCAAGGTTCCTTCCAACTCTGTTCTTCTCTTAGCCCAAACAACTGATAGGCATTGGATGAATTGTATCATGAAACAGCAATGAGAAACCTCTGTTCTGCTCCAACACATAGCTCCCCTCATGCTGATCCAAGTCTCTGAAATTGGGAACAATCTGGTTTGAAAGAATAAGGACACTCATGCTGCCTGGAGCAGATTGAACTTGGAAGACAACACCGAAGGGCTGGAGAGTAAGAGGCATGCCTGCAACAGCCCAAATGGCCAAAAGTTCCTAACCCCAGAGGGTCACTTGATTGCAGACCAACTGAATGGTCACTGTCAGACTGGGCTCATGGTAAAACTATTACAACCTATTGACTGATTAAAGAGCAAAGTATTACTGTATACCGAGGATGACTTTAAGCTGCCTTGGATATGTCTTGAGATTCAGGTGAAAGCAATGTCAGAAGGATATGGGGAAGAAAAGGTTGCTGGGCTGTATTGCTGCTGTGATCAGGTGCAAATGTGGAAGGCCCTTGGTTGAGATACACCTTTTCAAGCATTTTTTACCTTGCAGCCTTCACAGGTAATACAGCGGTAGTGGTATCCTGTGGCTTTGTCTCCACATACAACACACTGCTCATCTTTGTCCAAATAGCTAGGGATGTACCCTGTAGGAGAAAGCAGCCAAGAGGTCAAAGCTGAAAAGATGAAACAGCAGCTGCAAGAGGTTAAGACTATTGAAGTAGACTAGAAAGTATTCTTGCCCATCACTTACACTCCATAGAGAAACAGCAAGATAGCAACAGCTCCTGCTTTGTGGCTACTTACCAATATCTGTTAGTTAAATGCATTTGTCCTTTGAACATAAAGTTTACATAAAGTGTTCATTCCCGCTATTTCTTTAAAACTGAAATTTAGGCACCATTTTATAAGACAGCTCAGGTTCTCTGTCATTCGTGTTTTACAAAATGAGAGCAAAATCACTTAAACCTCAACATCAGTTCTCTTAAGAAGGACAAGAAGCTAAATTTGCTATTTTGCAGTGCCTTAAAAGAATGTCAGGATATAAAATCCCCTTTGCTTTGTCGACCACAGGCGGAAGGCGGAGGCTTAGAACTCCATGGCCCATCTTCCCTCACAGCAGAGTCTACAAGGCTGTTCAAGTGCTACTTCCCGGCTGGGTGACAGGAGGCAGTGGCAAGGCAGGGACTTGCTTGCTCCAAATCTTTCTGAAATACTTCCCCTCCCCCCAAACACAGAAAGCTTCCTGAAATAGTGATAAAGAGCAGAGGAAAGCATAATCACATGTATGTCCATAAAAGGCCCTTTGATTCCAGGTAAGGCGAAGAAAACAGCAGACATGATCATCCCTGCTAATTACTCCACCCCCTTTCTATAACCTTGACTTTTCCCATCAATAGGAAACAACAATGTCCTCTCCTACTGTACTTTTCCTCGCCCACCCCCACTTCTCCACCATTGTGGCAAAAGGAACTGCTCTTCCTGTGGCTGTAATAAGGAGCTGGGCAGGGAAATCACAGGAAGGCAGACTCTACAGCCTTGCTATAGAAGCTGGCATCTAATTTTTCATTGCCTGAGCCAATAATAAATTACCTTTCATCAACCAAGCTGCCTTTTTTTGTCTGCTTGCCCTATCGTCTCTACATTTCTTTCACTTATATTTATTCTTACTACCAGCAGCACAGAACCTTTCTTGACTTTGGCTGAGAAAGCTTCCCATTCAGCTCTGGGCTCAACCAGTTTAACCCTAAGGATGTGAAAGGTGGGCTGTCTTCCAGCCAACAATTTTTTTTGGGGGGTTGGCAGGCAAAGCTCAATGCTCCCTTCCTTCCTCAGGCAACGGCTTCCCACCACTCTACCTTATGGTCCTTTTTCCAACCTTTTTTTGGCTTCTCTACTTGTTGAATCTGTTCTCCTGTCTTTCTCTGTTTGCTTCCTTTCCCTCTGTTTTGCCTGCTATTTCCCCTGTGGCCCCCTTCTCTGAAATTAAAGCTGGGAAGGGTTAAAGAATGCACAGATAGCTGCAGGATGTTTTCTTACTGGAGCTCCACAGTTTTACTCAGCATATACAAAAGGTTCAAGGACTGCATGCTTGTCTGGAAACTTTGTGTGTGGGCGCACAACTTAACTCTGATTATGTGGGTCTTTGTTGAAAAGAAATTTCATGCTCTTCTCAAACGAGCATGCTATTAATATCTATTATGTGTTTACTGCTGTATGAACGACTTCTCTGATTCCTAGAAATGGCTGAAAGTTGATTCTCACATTACAATTTCCATATTGGACATCCCTTAGTATATAAAATACATACTTCCCAATTAATCACCACCACCTATAGATCACATGTAGATGTCACACAAACATGCCACTTTGTTCACAATGGAACTACTGCCAATTCAAAATGACCAATTAACATATTCCTACAGATATACTTGGCAGTTTGTATGTATTTTTCCAATAGGCAGATATATGCATTTCCATAGGCAAAATTGAATTGAATACTGAAAATGGTGTGCATTGGGCAGAAGGAGGGGCTGATAACAACCAGTATAATAAAAAAACAAATTTGCATTAGCAAACTTATAGAAACAATATAACTGAATCAAATTTAGGTGCAATAAAATATATTTAATAGACTCTTGGCAATGTATTATTTTATTAGTTAAAAAACATCATTTTTACCTTGGGTATTTATAATTTCCCAATGAAAAAGAATATATAAATTAGTAAGTCAATTGATCTGAGCACTTCCAAATGAAAGGCCCTAGATCAGCAGGCTGGCTGGGGAATTCTGGGAGTTGAAGTCTACACATCTTAAATTCGTCAAGTTTGAAAAACACTGACAGGTTGTACATGAAGTGATTCTATTAATCTATATTGTCAATATGGATCAAAAACTTTACTATGGTTTAAGTAAGGATCCCAGTGTGGATATGCCAGAGGAAAAAATATGGAGCCTTTCACAGACAAACTGTGCTCTCCTATGTACCTACAGCCCTGAAAAACAGTTCTGGCAATCCTTTCCCAGAGCTTAATCTGGTCACAAATCATCTTCAGGAAAAGAAGAAATTCCATTTTCTGTTCTGGCCTACAGAGGACTTTCTAAATCTCTGGAATGCGTAAAAGCAATAAAATCTTACGGAAGTCTTCCCAGATAGATTGAGAATCACTTGTAATGGCTTTTTTAAAAAAGGGTTTATTAGACAGGAAAACACAATGATTTTGTATTTATAAAGGGTGGCTTGTAAGGTGACTATCTACAAAAAGGATCTATCTTGTAAGGCAGCAGCAGAAGTACAGATAGCGCTCAATATATAATCATTCATTTAGGGACCATTCAAAGTCACAATGGCACTAAAAAAAGTGATCTGTGACCAACCTTTGCATTTATGATCATCTCAGCAACCCCAGTCACATTATCACAGTTTGGGCATTTGGCAACCGGTGTGTATTTAAGAGAGTTGCATTGCCTGGGATATGTAATAGCCATTTGAGACCTTCCAAGCAGGCTTCTAAAAAGCAAAATCAATGAGAAACCAGATTCTCGTTGACAGCCCCAGGATCCACTTAATTGCAGTACAAGGATTATGGGGAAAAGATCATAAAATCGGGCACAATTCATTTAATAAGTGGTGGTCATAAGTTGAGGATTACCTCTATTTGCAGTCGATGATTGACTGGAAGCTATGATATCACTAATGCAACTTCTTTGTCCCCATTTCTCCAAAAAGAAAGAGAAAGAATTTGGAGCAGATTGTTTTCCAATTTTAAAGAAACTTGTGGCAAGTCTTTTATTTTAAGTGAAAAGTGACTTGCGGAACATGTTTTTAATACTTGAGAATACAAAAGCAGTTAGACAGCTTTCTTCAAGCATAGGGTCAAGAACGAGAGCGGAACCCAAGATGAGGAAGATGTGTTGGATATTTTCACCAGCTTGAATTATTTGTAAAAATAATAAAGCTAGGATACAAATAAACAAACATACAAATAAACCTATGTAAGTTCTCCAAATATTAAAAGGCAAATGATTACAAAGTTGCAGATGCAAGCCTTTTCCTTGTTATCCACAAGCAGCTCCAAAAAACATTTTATGTTTAGCTGAATTTTCTCACAACCAGAAATTCTGCCTTATCATAGTTTTAGATCACAGGGAAGTTTGCAAATACAACTAGAAGCACATTTTGGGTGCATTTCTTTACACCATCAAATATACATATGTACACTGAAAACAGGCAGATGCTGGAACACCCACAAAAGAAAGATCAACCACATCTTCTCTTCTAATTGTTTTATTTTAAGTATTTTAAAAAGTGTGTGGTCATATGTAATTCTGCTTAGCATTTATTTATTCAATTGGATGCATGTTTATTTTAGCACATTACATCCCAAAACTCCTCACTCCTGCATGACTGACTGTTTAGGGCAAGGGTCTGCAACCTGCGGCTCTGGAGCCACATGCGGCTGTATCGGCTCTCTGCTGCAGCTCCCCGTCGGCTGATCCCACTGGCTGGCCCCTCCCCTTCCCATCACTCCTTGCTTGGCCTGAGAAGGTAAGGGTGATGGCAGGGGATGGAGACTCTGCTCCATATTCTAGAGGGAGGGAGTCACACCGGTTGTTAAATTATTGGCTCCTGGTGTTTTCTTTTCTGTGGGAAATGGATCCAAATGGCTCTTTGAATGTTTAAGGTTGCAGACCTCTGGTTTAGGGAAAGTGACATAAGCGATATTATGAAAATCATGATATCATCATACAAGTAACACAATAGAAGAATCTACTTAACCTGAGTGATGGCTCAGTGGTTAAAGATGCTGAGCTTGGCAGCAGGAGAGCTGACCGCCCAGGTTCAAGGCCCAAGCTCCACGCAAAGGGGTGAGCTCCCATTTCTTGCCCCATCTGCTGCCCTAACTAGCCGTTTGAAAGCATGCAAATGCAATCAGATAAATAGGTACCACTTGGGTGGGAAGGTAACAGCCAACCATGAGCCTTTGCCATATAACTATGTTGGCCATCTAATAACAGAAATTGTTTTTGGATGATTCTGGCTCCCTTGGCCAAAAAACGGAGATGAGCACTATGCCCTAAAGTTGGATATGACTGACAGGGAAATCTTTATCTTTACCTTTAGACTCATTCATTCTTCTATTAATTTTTGAGGGGGAGATAAATGGAAGTGAACGGTGGTTTAGTCATTAACTCAAATAATGACTATCCACTGGACTGGGGACAGTCAATAAATTTAAATAAGCAAATAATTTTATGACTGGTTTAAATTTACCCCTTGCACCTTTCCTAATTCAACAACTCATAATATATTTAAGCTGCAACGTTAAGATTTTTAAAAGATCTTAAAGGGTTATGGTTAAATGGGTTTTTTTAGAGGAATTTGAGGCAATTTGGAAGGACTACATTTTGTTCTCCAGACGCTTCTTACTGCTAATAAGATTGATATAGACACCCACATACAGAGTTTTTTCATCTATTTGTTTAGAGCAGAACTGTAGCAATCCTAAACTTTACAGTTATAACTCTTTGGCTTGCATAGAATTGTAAACTTTGATTATTTCAATTATCTACAGGATAGTTTGAGGGTATAGCTTGGATACAGCAGTCAATCATTCTGTTTAGATTTTACTTCATACTTCCACCCAACCCACAACTCCAGAACTTGACCCAAAACTGACTAGGCTTTAGTCAACTAAATTACAAAATACAGATGAATGGAAACAAAAATGCCTGCAGATAGAAACCTAACTAGGAAGAACAGTTTGAGTTTAGTCCCTTTGCTATACCATTTATTTAGAAGGAATGTTTAAACATGTGAAAGGATGACACTTTAAACTGCTTCTGAAACACTGCAGTCCACAGGCTTAACATTCTGTTACTTCATTTTATTAGGCTTAATATGTTCTTAGTTCCTGGATATTTATTTATTTTTGCTTACTATGAGAGATGCCCATAAATAACCTTGCATCTGTTATTTTAAAAAAAGGACAATGAAAGCAAAGAACGATGACTGTTATTGAAACATGGAAGGAAGAGTAAAACTGAACCCTGAACCATGATTTGACTTTTAGGCACCTACCTGCCTATCTGCTTTGTGGAATTAATATCCCAGTATAGTCCATATATATAACATATGATTTGAAGATTATTAACAACTGAACAGTGAAAAAATGTCCAAAGGTTGTAATCATATCGTACATCTCAAAAATTTGTGTACATTACCGCTTGCATATTTTGCAAATACAGATAAAAGATATTGTTTTAATCTGATAAATTAAAGAAAGAATCCAAGGGCAAGATTTGGGTCTTGCACCTCAAACAAATGCAGATTGTTCTGCAATCTATGTGAGAAAGATGTTAGGAGACAGGGCCAAGAGATGCTGCCTAGGGAGCAGTCAGATAAGAGAACGGCAAGAGGCTCAGAAGAGACGATGGTAGGAGATTTACCCTTTCGGACTTGCAAGATTTTGTTAATGTTGCTTTGCAATAAAGTAGAATTAGCTCATCTCATCATGCTTCCTTTCAGGACTATCTAGTAAGACTGACAAGTGAGACTTGCAGCTTGGTTGTGAAGTAGTCACTAAATGATATTGCAACTGTGTTATGATCTTAATTCATCTTTTCTTTGCTTTTGGAGGTCATAAATGCGCAGACTGGTCACAAAATTACTTTTTCATCAACACTGTGACCGCAAATGATTGCTAAACAAGGCAGCTGCTAAACGCAAATTACTTGTAAATCAAAGGGACATGTACAGTCTCTAAGAGAGCCACAAACTGATGGGTGCCGATATGTTCCACACATCTTCCCCCAAGCAAAGCTCCCAGTCATGCTGTTGAGGGATTATGAGAGTTGGAGGCCAATGTATCTAGATGAACTTAAAGGAGAGTACATAAAAGACTCATAACAATAATGGTCTTAGGTGTTTATGATTTATTTTCTAATCACAAACTTTCCAAGAACATAAATTTTCTATGTGCTGTAGATATATTAAAAGTCAGGATAATCTCTGTCTACAGTTTTGAAAGCTGATGAACAAAAAACAAAAAGAATGAGGAAAGAACTGAAATAGAGCAAGACAGACAGCAGTTATCTGGCTGATGAATGAAGTCAGGTTGGTCTTAGTCCTGCTATAGCCTCCTTTTGACCCTAAGTCTCCTCACAGATGAAAGAAGCCAGACCTGCTTCCTTTCTGCTGTCCCCTGGCAGATACATTATGAACTTAAACCCAATACTCATTTGCTGTAGAGAAATCTGGGAAATATTTTCTAAAGAGGAAATGAACTACAACTTGCCAGATTCTTGGAAGAAATGAAAGAAAGCCAAGAACCTATAATGCAGATATAGGGGCTCTCTGCCTTTTCCCCTAGCCTTGTGATATGTTTCTTTTTATATATAGATCATTCTTCAACTGTATGCACTGTAGTGTCTTTCCATTTGCCAACTGCTGAATTAAAGCAATGCCAGGTAAAAGGCAACGAAGCTGCTAAACACTTATGAAAAGAATTTTCTTCAATGTGGTTTATCCAAATAGTCTATGAATGGGAAATAATCCCATTTACTTTTTTTTTTTTATGGGAAAAGAATGAAAAATGTTATTTCTAGTACACACATCTTCAGATCTATAAACATGGAAATAAATATGTTCCACAGCTGGCTAGGGATTTCTGGGAGTTGAAGATCATGCGTCTTAAAAGTTACCAAGATTGGGAAACTCTGGTTTATATTCTTTGTTTAGCTTCTATTTAAAAATAAAAAATAAAATCACATCTATGCTGCTGGTGGGTGGATTAATGCAACAGCTAAACTGAACTATAAGTGCTAAAGTCTGGATCCTCCTCATCTCTCTCACAAGACTAAGAGGATATTTCTCCTGGTTGTAAAAGTATTGCCATGCTGCTGCATCATTTAAAAAAAAAACCTCTCAAGAACTGAAAATAAAGTGTTGAAGAGCATATTTTAAAGAGGGGGAATAAAAACAAATTGATTGTGGCCAGGTCTTGGGAGATGGAGGCTAAACGGAGATAGGAAAAAAATAATAATCACACAACTGGGAACGATGTGGTCTGGCATTCTTTCGCATTCACCAGTCCACATGTGATTCCCTCTTGCCCCATGACCCACTGTGGCCTCACCTTTAGAATCCCGCCCCCAGTTCTTTGTGGTTTATCTCCCTATTGCAGGCTTTGCCATTTGACATCCGATATCCTGAGCTGCCCCATGACTGCCTTTTCTAGACTAGTGAAAAACATCAAAAAAACTCCTCAATAGGTTCAAGTCAAAGTTGGATACATTCTGGGGATATTGTTTTATTTCAATTTGTCAAAGCAGGTTTCCCCAAACTCCTTTAATTTCTCCAGTCCTCTAGAATATCAACACTCTGTTTATATAAGTATAATAATAACTTTGAGAGCCTGTTTGCTCTAGTGGTTAAGGCATCAAGTTAGAATCCAGGAACTCTGAGATCTAATCCTGCTTTAGGCACAAAAACTGGCTGGATGACTTTGGGCCAATCACTCAGCCTAATTCTCCTCACAAGGTTGTTGTGGGGAAAATAAAGAGAAAATAAATAAAGAGAAGTAAGGAGTACTAGATATGTTCCCTGCCTTGAATTATTTATAAAAATAATAAATGTATGAATAAATACATAAACAAACAATAAATACATTTTTAAGAAGAATACGTTGGAATAATTGTTCTGTTACTAAAGTCTAATTAATAATGTGATCTAAGAGGAATTTCAAAAGGAATACATGCTTGAGTATAAGATAGGAAGCTAACGGAGATCCTGTCCCCTTAAATCTTTATGGAGATTTGCAAATCTCCATAAAAAGACTTACAAATGGTAATGCCACATCTTCCAAATTTATAACTGACAAAGCCAAACAGACCTATGACTATCAGTTGAATATAGCATTATATGATTTTCTTGCCTGCTTAGAACAGCAGAAAAACAGAACAATCCAAACCCTGGTTTAGTTTTCACAAAGGGCTATCATCTTTGGATGTGATCCTTTTCTACTAAATAAAAGTCCCGTTCTTACAGCAAAGGAAAGAATCCTAAAAAGTGAGTCACTTCCTCGATATCCTGCTGGCACGACTACAAGGAAATGTACTGTCTTCTAGTATCACAGAAGAGATAAGCACATTGATCTGAAAATTCTGAGCACTGGCAAACCTGGAAGAGATGCTTACCTGACATGCTGCTTTTCACCGAACATTGGCTGCTTTTTCTTTTACGTTTCCCATCCGGCCACCTTCGAAGAAGAGAGAAAGGGGAGAATCTGTCAGAAATTTGGAGTACAATTTATCTTTCTTGCTCACCTGCCTCAAAACCTTCCCAAATCACCAGAGCTCAGCTCACCCTTTTTCTTCATGGTGTAGCATTTCCATTATCCTACACCCTTTAGGAAATCAGAAGGTGTAAGCAGTACAGGGAGACTTATCTGAGAAGAGCAGAAGTGATAAAGTGGTTGCATGGCTAACCCCCTATACAGCCAAGATTTCCATGCTACCCTTCTCACAAGTAAGAGTCCTGCTAGACTGTTCTCACCTCAAGCTAATATGGACTAGATGCAGGAGATAAAAAAGTTAAATTACCAGCGATCGTTTAAAGGAAGCTAACCCAACCCAATCCAGGTTATATTTCTTGCACTGAGATCCATGGCTGCCCTAAAAAGAAGTGAGAGGTTGTCATGATAGCTTGCCCAAGAAGCTCAGGATGATTATTCCTTTTAAAATTGTGACAACTTTTTAGTGAAGGTTAGGACGTAATGACATAACCCAAGTTAACTGGCCTAATTGAAATTTTTTGCCTTAAAATAATACCTTGCTGGAGCAAGAAAATATGGTAGAAAGAAAGATGTAAAGCTACGTAAATCCTTTTGGCGGCTGAACTGTAGGCGTCTATGAAAGGGAGGAGCAAAAATTCATGAAACATTGGAAATTCCTGCTATTACAAAAAAAAAAAAGTCCCAATTCAGCTACATATTTGGAAGTATACTCAATATTTTGTGTATGTGTATTTAATTTGCATTATTAAACTTGGATGTATACTTTACTAATTTGAAAAGAAGATTCAAATTACGGTATTTGGGGAAAAGCCTAATTAAAGGTTGTTACAAATTGCTAGGAATACATAATGAAAACAGATGAGTGGGAGAGGTTCCTGGTGTATTTCAAATTCCATATTATCTTATATTATCTTTTTTTCTAACCCAAGAACTGAGAAATTGTTTTTAGAGAAAAAAAATTGTTGAAATAAATGTTAGAAATTTCTGATAATTCTTCCAAAGATTTCAGGCAATTAGAAACAGCTGAAGAAAAAAATGATTTTACACATATAATTTGTATGCATGTATGACTGAAATAAAATTTTTATGTAGATAGAATACTCTTAGGAAAAATGAAAATTTATTATTAAAATATAAAGTATATTTCTCTGCAAAATATGTACTTGTTTTAATAATAAAATATAGGTAGTCTTTATTTATAATCATTCGTTTAGCCAGCCATTTGAAGTTACAAGAGCATTGAAAAAAGTGACTTACAACCATTTAAAACAGTTCCACAGCATCTGTACAGTTATATGATTAAAATTTGGGTAATTGGCATGTATTTATGAAGGCTGCATCATTCCACAGTCACCTGATTGCCATTTGTAGCAGTTCCAGTTGACTTCAAACAGGTAAAAGTCAAATGGGGGACCCTTAATGACCACGACTGACTTAACAATTGTAGTGGTTCACTTAACTATGAGAAAAAAATATTGTAAAACCAGATGTGACTCACTTAACAATTGCCTTACTTAGCAATGACAATTCTGGTCCAAACTGTGATAAAAAATCAAGGACTTTCTGTAAACAGGAATACCCACAAGCCAGTGAAAATCTAGCTTTTAATTATTTCACATTATCAGATCCTGTGCATTAGAATTCTTTATTGGCCAAGTGGTTCTCCCCACTGTATTGAGTGAAACCTTCCTAAATCTGATTAATAGGACCACATAAAAACTTAATATTCTTAGCACAATCAGAGAAGGGGCAGAAATTGTAGCTTCCATGCAAAGAGTTTAATATTTCAAAAAATTAGTATCGTGCAGCAGGTTAAGATGTTAGACTAACAATACTGAAATCTGCTATTGGCCAATGAAATTATCTTCGTATTTTGTGTTAGTAACTCTCTTCTCTTCTAACTCAATTTATCTCACTGAGTTGATATAAAGATAAAATGAAGACAGATCCCTTTAGAAGCTGCCTTGAATTCCCTGGTGAAAGACAGCATAAAGTAAAGTAAATGCATGAATTTCTCGTACTAGATTGAGCTATATGAAACTAGAGAGGCAGTTTGATGTATGATTAAGGCATCAGACTAAAAATTGGGAAACTGTGAGTTCTAGCCCCATCATGGACATGAAGCCAAATGGGGGACCTGGGGCCAGCCATTTTTTCTTGGCCCGAGGAAAGAGGCAATGTCAAAACACTTCTGAAAAAAACTTGTCAAGAAAACTGCAGGAATTTAAAAGCATTCTTTTAAAATTGGACACAACTGTTCAAAAGAAAAAAATGAACTTATTCAGCTGTGTTCATAATTATACCAGCTTAGCTCCTAATATCATTCTCTCACCATCTCAGTTTCAAGAGGACTGAGGGCAAGAGACAAAATTATTTTCCAGAAGAAGGCGGCTATAAAAATTAAGCCTGGATGCCATCTAAAATGCAGAAGGGTTGACTAAGGATTTCAAGTTTCTTCCAATATGTAAGAATATATTCTTTGCAACATGTGATCCTATGGACTGTTCTGTTGAGCAACTTGTTACCTACTGAAAAAAACCAATCCAGCTACTTAATAGGACTATCCCAAGAGGCCTCCCTCTTGTTGGCCAAGTCTAATGGATGCTTACTGAGGACCTTCAGAAAAGAAGCAGGAAGAGAGACTTATTAATGTGCCAGAGAAGGAAAATACAGATTCAAGTCTGATTCTATGCTGGAGCAATAATTGAGATGAAGCATTGTTATTTCTCCCTTATAGGCAGGGGTGGGCTGCTGGGGGCTCGCAGGGGTTTGGGAGAACCCCTAGCTAAAATTCTGTGCAGTTCAGAGAACCCCCAAATCCCACTCCTGGCTGACCCACCCAGCCCACCCCAGGAATCCCCATGCGGCCCGTTTTGGATGCAGGTAAATGCAGGGTGTGTGCGGAGGCTCGGAAAGGGCAAAAATCGGGCCTCCCAGAAGTTCGGGAAGGCTGGAAATGGCCCCATTTCTGGCTTCCAGAGAGCCTTCGGAGCCCAGAGATGCCATTTTCGCCCTTTTTTCCCTCGAGGAAAACCTCTGTAGCCTAGGTAGGGCAAAAACACCCCCCCCCCTGTGGTGTAGGAGGCTGACTAGGCCACACCCAGCCTGGCCATGCCTACCCAGCAACCAGGCAGAGAACCCTTTGCTAAAATTTTTGAAACCCACCCCTGCTTATAATACTGGCAGGCTTATCAGCTAGCAGCTTAGTTAGGGTAGAAGCAGCAGGTAGATTTCCCGCTATGAGCAGTTAGCATAGCATTCTGCTGATGGTCACTCCAATTTGCAAAGGCTTGACTTTTCATGGGGAGAGCCTATTATAGTGATACAGATACAACAACTTGCCTAGACTCTGAGGTAAATAGATATAGCCCTTTCTTAGCTATCTCTGGATACATATGAGCTTGATCCATGCTTCTTGACTCTTCAAGGAATCTGAGAAGTATGATGAATTGGAATGAGAGGTAGTTAACACATCTATTCAGGAAAGACAGGTGCTATTAGTTTTGTGATGTACCCTGCCTGAAAAGACCCTTTTTGGATCTCTTTGCATGGGACAACTATGGCCCTGTATCTAATCACCAATTCTTGAGTATGGTTAGGCGATTGTAATCAGGGTACAACTGCAGAACAACCTAGATGAACCAGATTATTGGGCCATTTTCACTTAAGATTCAAGCTGGAATATGGGATGGACACAGCTTCAGTAGCCCTCTGGATAACCTTTAATGGGATTTGAGAAATATGCCTATTACAGTATTTTTGGATTTCTCAGCAGACCTCAACACCAGTGGCCTGGTATCCTTCTTGACCATGGGCAGGGAGGGATTCAGTATTGGAACACTCATTCAAAGTTATGGCGGTGTTGAACAAGGAGGACTTATGATGGGTTCTTATATTGCAGCTGTCACACCATCTCATAATCACATGGCAACTGGCTTGCAATTATAAATCACAGTCTTCCCCAGCCACATGATCACCATCTGTGACCTCCACTGCTGGCTTCTGATGAGCAAAGTCAATGCGGAAACCAGCAGAAAATTATAAATGGTAATCTGACTGGAGGATGCTGTGACTACTCAGAATTTGCCTGATGACAGAAACTGGGGTTGCTGCAACTACTATCATAAATTGGTGCAATTACGTGATAGCATGCCTTATAACCACGTTGCTTAGCAAATGAGTTTACAATCCTAATTATTGCTAAGCAAGGATTACCTATAAAAATTCTGCTCTTTCTTCAATGGACAATTCCAGAATGACCAAGGAGTTGCTCTCTGTGGAATGCTGCATGGATCAGTTTGTCTCCTCTGTTTTTTTTATATATTTACATGGAACTGCTGGGTAGTTTGTGGCCCAAGCAACAAATGACATTTTGTTGAAAGATTGTATCTGAAGTCTGTGAAGGGTCTGGGTAGGATGAAACAAGTCGAATGGGTTTGCATTGTTTTAACTGAGTGATATCTTCAGAATGGTCATTTCACAGGGTAGCATCACTCCTGAAAGAGCAGGTCTATGACACTGGGATCCCTGAACAGTGGTGGGATTCCGCATTTTATCCCTACCAGTTCTATGAGAGGATACTTTGTATGTGCAGCGCTCAAAAACTGCCCTGTGTGTCAGCGCTGGTGAGCGAAGCTGTTTTGTAGATCAGCTGCAAATCAACTGAGCTAAAAAAAAACAAGGGAATATAGGAGAGGAAATAGCGGGGTTGGGTGGGCAGGACCAGCCAGAGGTGGTTCTCCGAACTACTTAAAATTTCCGCTACTGGTATGCCAGAACCGGTCCGAACCACCTGAATACCACCTCTGCTTCTGAACCCGCAACTACTGCTTGGTGGTCAGATGGAAGCTGAAGCCTCGGGACCTTTGTGAAGCAATGGTTGGTATACAAACTGCAGGGTTATCTGAAGTACAAAGACCTCCTGATGGTTAATTCACACTGCCATCACCTGTTGTCTGGATTAC